ATATCATGTGATTTAAAAAATATCGCTTTTTTTAATTTTTTTTCCAAGTGATGCATAACATTTGGGAGCCACTGTATGGCAATCCTTCTATTAATTTGCTGATCCCAATTCCGAAATTAAGCTGTATTAACATGCATGCCTCTTATCATCCAATAAAGACGAAAAAATATTAGCATCCTCCTCGGTTAATGCTTTTAGGCAAAAAGTTTTCCATTATTTTTTCTCACTAAAATGGTTAAGTTATCTCTCACAGAAGCAAGGCTTCAAGGGGGAATTATCATAAAAGCCCGATTTATCGTGACGATCTTGGAACGCGAATAGCTCGTCAACCAATGACCCAATTTTGATGAGGATTGAACGACTGGATTCGGTCGGTTCTGAGCTTCTATTATCTCAAATTTCGTGAAATTCTGATCACTGGATGCGTAGTTATTCAGAATATCGTAAAGCCAATTATTTTGGATATAACCGCGAAAGAATCTTGGAGAGACCACATTGCCAAAGTGGCGTGTGATATGTTGGTGACCTGGCAACCTACAAAATATTAGACTCCGGTTCTGGTAATCTAAAGGAGGTGAGAAATTGGTAGGTTGTTATGTAAGAATTCATAGCTACCCAGTGAATCCCAAAATGTATTATTAGTACTATATGAGTATTGAAACTTCATTCGTCTACGAAACGTGCTCCAGCTATTGTAGAAACTTCAAACCAATTCGACCAGATGCAGGACATTGAGAGCCTCAAAACAAGCCAAGGTGTGAAGTAATTGGATCACAGGAAGCCGGAATAGCTTTGGCAGTTGGGAAAATTTACTATGCCACATCATGAGTTAGTAGTTAACATCGTAGATCGATTTTGCGAAATGTAATATTATGGAACTGTCGCTTCCAGATCAAAGATAGATCGTTGGATTAGTATACGTTAAAAAAACAAAGAACCGCTGTGAACGAAAACTTTATTATTTCACAAATTGCTAGGTTAAGTACAGATATTTGTTTTAAAATCAATATTACAAAGAATATATGCTAAATATATGAACAAAAATTCATTTTTCATTTACTTTAACATGCTTTGAAGGATGTTCACTATTTTTATCATAAAGATAAACTTGCACTGTTAATATCTGAGCAATATATGTTAATATTTCTTTTTCGTATACCAATTCACCCTCGAAAGTGCATGTATATTCTTTGCTAATATGAACTTTCAGATTTTCTGATGATCCACTCTAACGGATAAATCGCCATAGCTTTCCAGTTGAGGCTATTCCATAGATCAATAATTCCTCATATCCTAGTTTATTTAATCGCTCAATTCCACTCTGTGACTGCACAATAGCTTGAGCAGATCCTTGGTTCATGTCTTCAGCTTTTGCTTCGCATAAAAACAACAAAACTTCAACTAACTTTACCCAGTAATCTACAGGACCATACCCGTGACTCCCGTCTAGTCCTTGCTCCACGTCTAATCTTACTGACTTATTTATCTGGGTTCGTATATAATCAACTGCATGCGTCATGAATGCGTCAATGTATAAACGATTCTTCGTCTCATTTCCGAATTCATTCCGAAGTGAACTAAGCTTAACTTTAATTTCGGTGACGAAATTTGTCAATTGATTCTGATTAAATGGCGGATCTAATGGGGGAAGCTCTGTCATGTCAAGTTCCGGCATATCGGAAAGTGAATTGTATGTCGGTTTTTTTAGTATGTCCTTAAACACGTCTTTAAGCTTCCAGTCACTATATTTCTTTTTGCCCTTAATCATAACTTTTAATTTAAGCACAACGCTTTTGTCTTGTGCTGTTTGAGACTTAACTAAGGTGTTGAAATTGTATGCGTTCCAAATCTCCGTTCCATCATTTACAAAATAAATAATTCCTTCCTCTAAATCTTTAAATATTTCTCTAGCAAGGGCTTCCAGCCGATCAAAAGAACCACTGGTATGTGGTATTTCGCGTTTGCCCTGTCTTTGTCCATACATGAATGTCACCTTAACTGCATTTTAAAGGAAACAAATAAGTACTTGCTTGAAGTGGTAAAAATAAAGCCAAGAAAATAAACCTCACTCACTGTTTACGTCCGAGATCGGGTAGCGAGCAACGAGCGGGTTCTTGGCCGTTGTTGTCTTAGTTAGAGTTTGGAGGTCAGTATCTGGTGGAAGTTGTGTGTTGTTGTTATTTAAGATTACGATATTTTGCGGTCTAACAGCTCTTAACTCTTCATACTCCTCTTGAAGAATATATACAAAATCGTCTAAGTCATAAGCTTTAGATATATCAGCATTCAACTTCCTAGCTCTCGGTGAACCTTCAAGAAGGACCCACATTTTTACTATAGACGGACAAGGGTGGTCAAACTCGTCGGAATTAATCATTTTTATTTATCAACTGCGGATATACCAATTTAGGAGTAACCAGAATAAGTTATAGAATAGTCGATGATATAATATTTACTGCGCGGTCGTAAATGTTTTTTGGATTTTTTGGATTTTTTGAATTTTTTTGCAGGTATATATATATATATTCATTTTATTTATACATAATTATCATGCATTTCTAACTCAATTTGTTTCACAATTAAATGGAATGGCTATAAGCTAAAACGAAAAATTATGGCATGATTGCAACATTAGGTACTGTATTACATCATACTACATCATTTACGCAGTACAAAATTTGTCGCAATTGTCGCATAGCCATATAAGTATCTTTCTGTGCATTTTAGGTGACTTTTTTAGAATAATGAATTACATAATGATTACAAGAAATCGAACCTTTTGGATGCTTGAGCAACGAATTCCTTAATTTTTTGTATTCTTTCTGGAATAACAATTTCCGGTTTTTCATCATACCATACCTCAATAAGAAAAATTCCGTTATCTTGACATATGCATCGTTTTTGCCGATCACGATTAACGATGTCCTCGAGTTTTTTGACATTCTTATACCAGCTAGTGCTATGAAACCGATGCTGAGCCCCTTGCACCTCCAATGCAATTTGATATTTTTGGAAGAAGGCATCAAGCTCTAATCCTTGCATGAAAGAGGGGCGATATTCGATCATAGGTTCCTCATTAAG